GACCACATCAGTGCAGTTTAACTGAGTGTACAGTAGAAACAGAGTGAATACTCCAAGGATTTTGCCCAGATGGTTTTTGTGACCTCCTTTATCCATTCATGTAAACACACCATATTTTCCGGTTTGCTGAGTTGTATATACACTCTACAACTTAGTACTAAGTCTGAATGTTTAGTTAGCCAGAAGATTGTTTCCATCCTGTGATTCATTAAATCCCTATGGGATCGCCACTTCCTCTATTTTATACAATCACAAATTATATTAGTTTGTCCTATTTTGATAACCCCCTTAATTAATGTCCTGCACAGGAAGCTTTATTACTTCTTTAAAAACAATCTCATAGAACAAGGACTTTTCCTGGTATCGGGTTGGCAAGAAGTGACAGCTGCAAACAACTTCCTAAAGATGGCTGAGGCTGAGCAGTATTTTTCATGTACAACCCGATGCCAGCTAATTTCTAATTATGAACTTAACGTACTGTCCTCTTTTTCTTTTTTAAAACAACCAAACCAAACCAAGCCAAACCGACACATAGAATTATGGCCAGCATCATTAGTTCAGAAATAGAAATGTTTGCTGTTGCTAAAGTTTAAACTCTGGCTACCTGACAATAAAAGTCACTTTTATAAGTCACTTTTATACTTCAAAATACTAAAGAAACTGCGGTACAATTCATACATGACATCAAATCACTGTTCAGAAGCTACATCATACTTTGACTCATGAGAGTTAAAACAGACAAATCTTGGCTTAGAGCTGTCAGATTCCTGTCTACTGAGCACTCCAGATCACAGGACACTCATTGTCCAAGTACAGCAGCCTCTTGAAGCAGTGCAGTGCCCCAAACTATAATTGTTTTAAGGCTTGGTGAACACAGGCATATCAGCACACTGCAAATGCTACAAAGCAACTTGTGCTTTGCACACCAGTTTCAAACCATGATTAAGATATCCGGGTTTGGCAGCCCCTTAGTTTATAACAAGACTCAGATTCAGACACTGCATCAAGCTATGGTTTGCTGTTAGAAATCCTTGTTTGGCATAATATCTAAATGCAACATAAAGTCATGATCAGAAACCTGTATACCTAGAAGTTATTAAACGTCAATGACTATTCATCTAAGTAATTCCATAACTGTATTTAGGATTCTAATATATCAGTGCAGTAAGAACTATGGATGTAATGCTGAAAATTCAGGGAATGCCTACATTAAACCCGTATTAGTAGTTTCTCTGTATGATCTTGTAAGCCTGAACAGTTTTAATTTTTCATGAAACAAACTAATAATTGAGATCTATCAATATATCAGATGTCCATATTAAATATACACTAAGAAATTATAACAGGAATGTTCATGGGACATTGGTTAGGTTTGAACACAGCACAAAGCTATGAATTGTTTATCTTAAGTCTTATTTTTTTTGCATTCCCAAACACATCTCAGATAACCAACTATGGTTTGTTGAGTATAGCACCCCCAAATGTTCTCAGTGGTTTGAAGTTCATTTGTGAATCTCAGTTATCTTTAAAGGTAAAGGTTTCCCCTTGACGTTAAGTCCAGTCATGCCTGACTCTAGGGGGCGGTGCTCATCTCCGTTTCCTAGCCAAGGGAGCCAGCATTCGTCTGCAGACAGTCTCTGTGGTCATGTGGCCGGCATGACTAAACACCGAAGTGCACAGAACGCTGTTACCTGCCCACCGAAGTGGTGCCTTTTTATCTACTTGCATTTGCATGCTTTCGAACTGCAAGGTTGGCAGGAGCTGGGACAAAGCAATGGGAACTCACCCCGTTGTGCAGATTCGAACCGGCGACCTTTCAATCAACCACCCCAGCAGCACAGCAGTTTAAACCACTGCACCACCTGCGTCCCTCCAGTTATCTTTACATCCAAACTTATCATCCTGGCTCGTAATGTCATATATCACACTACCCCTGTTTTTGCAGGCCTCTCCATCCCTCCTCCTTCTACCAACTCCCTGCTTCTATAAGCTTCTTGTCTTTGACATGCAATGTGCTGCTGATGGTAACAAATGACCCCTGGCTGACGTCAGAACGCTACAGCTCCTGCCTGTACTCTCCTTCAAAGGCGCTGGCAGCAAAGGGAGGCCTTGGAGGCAAATGTTCTACCAAGTCCCTTTTATGCATTTCTGCTGCCCCTGCTGCTCTCGGCAGATAGTGTCATTAGTTCCCAGTACTGACAACACTCAGAGCTAGCAGCTGTTGGAGGCACTGCATGTACAATGACAGACAGTCTTCTCCCCAGTTGTTTTGGGTGATGCTACTTTTCCAAATTCATAGCAGTAACCATCGAAAAACAGGCACTCCATCCAGAAACAGCCGGCAGCAGGCAGCAGGTAAATGTCTTCAGTCTCTGTGGGGATGGGCTTTCCTCACTAGGCTGATGCACAGCAATGGTGACCTCTGATGCTCCTATTTCTGAACAGCAATAACAACCAAGGAGGCCCAGCTGTGAGGAGACCTTGACTCAGAGTCCTGCATTCATTCTGCATTTCCTGAAGAGGCACTCATTTTTCCAAGGGAAGTCTGGGTTTATTTATTTATTAGGGATTATTTATTTATTATCATAGCCCATCTTTCCTCTAAGAAGCTCTTCCGTCCGTCCATCCGTCCTTCCTTCCTTCAATTAATGTACTGCTACAACAGCCCATACAAGATCCACATCCCCATTTCATCCTCACAACACTGAGAGGTAGGTTAGCTTGTAAGTCTGTGACTGTTCTAAAACCACACAGTGAGCTTTACGGCATAGCGGGGACTAGACCCTGGGTTTTGCCAATTCTAGTCTAACACCCTAACCACTATAAACCAGCCCACTCATATGAACTACATGTATACATTTTTGGTATATTAAGTGCATGGATATCAAAAAAGAGAAACAAAGACATGCAGATAGACACACTTTTTATTATTATTCATTTGTTCATTCAATTTATATGTCACCCTACTAGCCACAGGCTCGCTGAGTGGCTTACAACATGTTAAAATCCAACAACATGAAACAATGCAAGCATAATAAAACATTCAACTACAAAGACCAATAATAATCATCATCATCAGTGCTTTTTTTGTCATAGAACGCACCAGAATGGAGTTCTGGCATCTTTTTTTGACAGACTTTAACTTTTGCAAATTTGATGTTTGGTCCATGTGGATTTGAATCGCCCTGTCGAGCGTAGGAGGTCCGCAGCAAAATCATTAAAATGGTCCATGCAGGCTGCTTGTGTGTCGAATCCGATGCATGCGTACTTCGCGCTGGTTGTGATGGCGCTGCTTGGCTTGTGGTGCCGCTCAGCTTGTGATTGGTCGTGTGGTCACGCATTGAGCGCTTACTGCAGGGGGTGATCATTATGTTTTGTTACACAACTGACGTGTGTGGGTGTGTGTACTGTGATTGACTACATGCAAAAGTTAAATAACTTCATGAGTTCCGGCACCATTTTTCTTACAAAAAAAGCACTGATGATGATGATGATAGTGAATAGATTAACAGAATTAGACAAACCCCCCCATCTCTCTCCCAGCAAAGGTCATCCCACAGGGCCACCAAGGCAGTTTCTGTTCTGAAACTGGGCCTAATACCTAAGTGAAATGGGTTTAAATAATCAGTTTACTCCAGGAGAGCCTGCAGCTGCCTGGCCACAACCTATTCAATCACCTTGCCCAAAAAGGGAAAGTTGGCAATTGGTTAGAAGTTGCTTATATCGCTGGGTCCAGGACAGATTTCTTCAAGAGTGGTGTAACAACTGCTGTTTTTAAGTGGAAGGTACCATTCCTCTCTAAAAGAGGCATTAACAACCTCCTGGACCCAGACTCAAATGCCCTCTGTAGATTTGTAGATCAAGCAAGCAGGTCAAAGGCCAGGCACTCTGGCCACATCATTAGGTCGCAAAAGCTGAAACTCATCCAGTAGAATGGAACAAGACAGTGCACTGGATACTTCTATTGATGGAACTGGAATAACTGCAGTCCAAGTCACTATGGATCCAAGTACTTTTATCCTCAAAGTGTCATGCAAATTCCTCACAGGGTGCCTCCAAAAGTTCAATCAAATCTTGTTTGGGGCTAGAATGCAAAAGGTCCTGAACTACCTGGAAATGCTCCACTGGGCAACACAATAAAGATGTAATGCTGGCAACAATGATACACTTCCTCACTGCCTTCACCTCCATGGAACAGGCTCGTTAAAGGGCACTAAGCCATGTTCAGTCTGGTTAGCTCCAAGTTCTTCTCTACCTGTGCCATCTCCCCTCCTGCTTCATTGTCTTCAGCTCTGACATATACCAAGGAGCCAACTGAGCTCTGCAGGAAGGGAAAGGGTGCTTGGGGGTGATTGTGGCAATTGCCCAGGCCATCTCCATATTCCACAGAGTGACCTGAGCATCGACAGGAGTTCCTACCTTACCAGGTGAAAAATTCCCCACAGTGGCCTGGAATCCACTTGGATCCATCAGCCTCCAGGGATGGACCAACTTAATGACTCCCACTCTCCTGCAGAGGGGTAAAGGGGCCATTAGTTCAAACCACAACAGGAAGTGATCTGACCCTGACAAGAGGGTAGATTTTAACCCTCTCGATTTCCAGGCCACTATCCCTCTGTCCAGTCAATGATATCTAGACACATGATAGCTACTTTGGGAAAGATTGCCCAGCCTGATTTCTGCATCAGAAGAGATGCAGAAAGAAGAAATTCCACAACTCAGTCCACTACTGAGAGAAATGAAGTACCCTAATTCCCACTATGTCTTTCCTGTCAGGACTGGGTCCATTCCTCCTATAATACAGCCTGATCCAGAAGTGGAAGAGGAGGTGGAATTCTCAGTTGACTTGCTGAAGTTAGCAGGCCCAGATGAAAGTTAGGCAGTGACAGAGACTCATGCAATGCCCACTTGTGTGGGAAAGGGTTGTGAAGAAGCTTATTTCATACTGGTATCTGACTGGAACAGCGGAACTCCTATTTTGTTTAAAAAAAAAAACTTACCAAATTAATCAGCTGAGTATGGACAATGTCTTCCACCAAAACCGCTGACTCATGTAGAGGTCTACGAGCATCTCCTAAAGAGAACCTGAAAGGCAATTATTAAGAGTTACTAAATGCTGCACATACACAGAATACATTATACATTCACACAGGAAGAAATATCTTTTTTAATAAGTTTTATTCTTAATAAACCTAACAGAAAAGGAACTAAAAAGTCATCAATCATCAAAAACATCAGACCTACTGGGTCAGCCCTCCACATTTTTTTTCTTTTTAGGTTAAACTATAAACATATTTAACTCTACGCATAGTCCAGTTTCTCTAGCAAATAGTAAAAAGAGTCCCAGATTTGATAGAAGTCTGTATCTTCTTTCTCCTTCAGAGACAAAGTCAATCTGTCCATTTCAGCACAGTCCAAGATCTTTTTTAGAATCAGTTCATTGGTAGGTGGCTCTTCACTCTCCCCGTGTTGGGCAAATGCAATCCTTGCCGCAGTAGTTACATGTAGAATCAAATACATTGCTTGTTTACCAACATCATCAGGTACAATGCCTAATAAGAAAACTTCAGATTTAAATGTTAGAGGTTTTTGTAACGTTTCCTCAAGTCATTTGTGTATTTTAATCCAATACTTTTTTGCCTTATCACAGGTCCACCACATATGATAAAAAGTACCCAGTTTGTGTTTACATTTCCAACATCCATTTGACTTATTTGGAAACATCTTAGCTAACCTATTTGGTGACAAATACCATCTATAAAACATTTTATACAGGTTTTCTTTGTATGAGGTTGCTAATGTTACTTTAATATTTCTTTCCCACAGCTTTTGCCATATCTCTAACTCAATATTATATCCAAAATTTTGTGCCCACGTTATCTTAGTTTCTTTAACCTGTTCATCTTCCATTCTCCTATCTAGTAGGAAGTTATACAATCTTTTAATCATTTTCTCATCTGATTTAAGCATCACCTGATCAAATGCTGTTAGCTCCTTATAAAAGCCCCACATTCTATAGTCTTTAGCATATCTCGATTGCATTTGAACCTTGTGCCACCAAGAAATATTAGTTCTTAGCTCTTGTATTTCTTGATTCAATTTCAATCCTCCATCATTATCCAAAATATCATCATATCTCACAATCGTATCAAAATTCAGTGCATTTGGATATACAAGAGCTTCCATAGGTGAAAGCCATCTTGGTAATTTAGTATACAGTTTTATCTTTAACTTTTCCCACACCGACATTAATGATTTCCTAATATAATAGGAAGAAATATCTTGCTGAAATAGTAATGAAAAAGAATTAGATTGTATGATGCAAATGGATTGTTAGAATAGGTTACATTACAAATTGAATCCGGCAAACACTGAAGAATTTTATTTGAAATTATTGTACAAATTGTCTTTGACAGTTTTGCCATATTTCATTAACCTAAACTGAAGTATTTTGTTTGGACATATATATTTTACCTTGCAATGAGTTACCAAGGTAGCTTACATAATCATGGCAAGAATTAAAATATAATTAGAAGTAGGACAGTTTATTAAAAAAAAGCAGCCTGAAAAAACAAAAAAGGCTGCAAAGTCCAAAGTAAGGCAAATACATCACTCTGAAAAACTTCATTATATGGCAGTAGGCAGGTATAAGAGAAAGAGAAAACCGCTTCTTTGGAATTAGAAACATCACAAAGTAGGCTCAAAAGTGTACTCTCATTTGTGTTCACTCAGATCCCTAAAAAGTGCCCCCCCTGAACACACACACACCTGTATTCAAGCCATCTAATTTCTTTTTAAAGCTATTTATTTTTTTCATTTCATTTCATTTCTATCTACCTGTAGCTGAAGTTATCTGGACAGTTTACAACAATAAAAACAACAAAATAAAATAGTATAAAAACAGTACAATACATAAAAACATTAACAAGAATTAAATATTAATTTGAAAGAGCACAAATGAGCACTAAAACACAATTAAAAGAAAATTAAAAAGGCCCAGCTAAAAATAAAAGACACCTGGATAATCATGCCAGAGGCCCCTGCAAAAAGGGCTTTTTTAACGTAACACTGAAAAGATGACAAATTTGGCATCCAGTGGGTCATAGTAAGGGAAGATAAGGGGCTACCTTAGAAAAGGCCCTCCACCTAGTGACACCCTCTGAGCCTCTTGAGGGGCTGGCAGCTGGAGCAAAGCCTCAAAGGTTGAGCCTGGTAAATCAGGAAGAGGCACTCCAACAGGCACTGTAGTCCCAAGCCTTGTAAGCTTGGGACTGAAATAGCAAGGAGACACCGAGGAGATGAACAAACTGTACTCAGTGGGAAGAGTGGTCATATCATGCCAGCTGCCAAGAGCAACTCCACATTCTGCAAAGCAGAAAGGGCATCCATGACAGCATAGTGCGCTCCAGAATTCATCAGATTTCATCAGACTCTAGGGTGGCTCATTCTAATAGGCCCCACACTCCTGTAAAAAAAGGGGGCTACTGTTAATCTGGATATCAACAGGAAGTGTTCTGGTCATGACAACCGAGTTACCCAGAAAATGCCCACTCTCTGATACCTCTCCTTCAGTCTAGTCAAGAAAACCAAGAGTGCATCCTGTCACACGTGTTCTGCTGATGACATATTGACAATCACGCAGCTGTCGAGGCAGCAATGTAGTGCTGAGTTGCCCAAGAAAGGACAGCTTTGGCACAGAAGTTGAGGTCACTCATGACAGCCATCCCAGAAGTCCAAAATGCAGGGCCAGCTCCAGGTGACAGTAGGATCACCAACAGCCCTGCCCACCAGAGGGTTGGGGTTCTCAATTTGCTATCCGCCACCACCTTCTATGGCAGCAGCCCTCTTGTAGCATCTTCTAGTTTCTTTCTCTGACCCTGATATCTCTGTCTTTCCCTACCTCTGACCCCAATAATGGGGAATTAATGCTTCCTTCAGGGGCAGGTAGGGATGCAGGTGGCGCAGTGGTTTAAACTGCTGTGCTGGTTGATCGAAAGGTTGCCGGTTCGAATCTACACAACGGGGTGAGTTCCCGTTGCTCCGTCCCAGCTCCTGCCAACCTTGCAGTTTGAAAGCATGCAAATGCAAGTAGATAAAAAGGTACCACTTCGGTGGGAAGGTGACAGCGTTCCGTGCACTTCGGTGTTTAGTCATGCCGGCCACATGACCACGGAGACTGTCTGCGGACAAACGCTGGCTCCCTCGGCTAGGAAACAGAGATGAGCACCACCCCCTAGAGTCAGGCATGACTGGATGTAACATCAAGGGAAAACCTTTACCTTTACCTTCAGGGGCAGGTAGAAATCACAGTGCATAGCAGTGAACACACCACTCTGCAACCACACATCAACATCTAAGGACAAAACAGGAGGAGGGCAGATGAACCCCATCCACAAGTTGGCTGCAGATGTGCATGTGCATATAAAAAACTATGCACGGAAATGCCTCAAGATGCACCCTATCAAGTATTTAACAGTCATTTTTGCTGGTGGCAACAATTATCAAAAGCTGTAGACCTAACCAGCATATCTGAGATCTTCAGTGTGGTCCACAGCACTGCTATGAAATATTTATGAACAGCAGCATGTAAATGGTTACAATAAATAAATATATATAAGCTGGAATTCATGAGTGTTTAAAGTAATATATAATAAACTTCATCTTTTAATTACATTCAGAAAAAATCAATGCCAATGGCAGAAAAGCTGATAAAGCAATAGCTGCTGCTATACACTTCCACATCTGCTTAATCCACTATTCTCGATAAAGTATAGAAACAGAAACAGAGCGAGTCAGAAGGGGTCTCCTGGGCCATCTAATCTGACCCCTGGCTCCAGCCAGCTCTGCACATGACATACCTACCATGTGTATGTCTAGCCTATCCTTGAACACCCTCACCGATGGGGCCTCAACCACCTGCTGTGGAAGCCCATTCCATACCCTCGGGGCCCTAACTGTCAGGAAGTACTTCCCAGCATCCAGATTGAACCTTGATTCCCTGAGCTTTGCTCCATTGGAGTGGGTCCTGCCCTCCTCTGCAGGGGAGAACAGGTCTCTACGCATCTCCGTGTGACAACCCCACACATACCTATATGTCGCCAACAGATCCCCTTGGAGTCTTCTCCAGGCTGAAAAGACCCAGTTCCCTCAGTCTCCCCTCATATGGCTTTCATTGCGAACCGGCCACCATCCTTGTGGCCCTATGCTGCACTGACTTTAACCTGGCTATATCCTTCCTGTAACAAGGGGCCCAGAAATGAACACAATACTCCAGTACCCGGAGATCCCTTTCACAAGTGCTGCTCTCCAGCCACTTGTCCCCTAACCTGTACTTTTGATGCCCATTCCTATGCCCCAAGGCACGCATCCACCTTGCACTTCTCTACATTGAATGCCATCCTGTTCTCTCATGCCCACTTCCATAGTCTGTCCAGATCCTTTTGGACATGGAGTTCCTGCTCCTCAGTTGTGCCCACTGCCCCAGTTTTAATATCATCTGCCAACTTGATCAGCAGACTGTTCACCCCTTCTTCCATGTCATTGTTGAAAAGATTAAACAGGATTGGCCCCAGGACAGAGCCCTGGGGGATCCCGCTTGTCACTGGGTGCCATTCTGATGATTCCCCATTAACGGTTACCCTCTGCTTTCAGTCAGTCAACCATGCCCTAATCCATCAGACAGTGCTTTGGTCTATTCCAAAACTCTTCAGTTTCTCAACCAGGATATCATCAGGCACTTTGTCAAAGGCCTTGCTGAAATCCACTGCATCCCCTCCACCTACCCACCTCGAAACCTTATTGTAGAATTCCACAGGGTTTGTCTGGCAGGACCTGTTTTCGCAGAAACCGTGTTGTGTGGCCGCCAGCCTTCCTTCCCTATCTAGCATCACTAGATCTCTCTCTATTATGAGCCTTTCCATTGCTTTTCCTACAATGGACATAAGGCTAACTGGTCTGTAATTCCCCATGTCCCTTCTACTATCCTTTTTGAAAATTGGGACCACTGACGCCCCCTTCCAGTCCTCTGTAACTTCACTCATTCTCCACAAGGCCTCAAAAATGGTGGCCAGTGGGCATGAGAGAAC